CCAACCTGGGGCCGGGCCCAAGGGGCTCGCAGGTAAAAAACGAGGGGGGGGAGGGGGATTTTGGGGGGGGGTGGGGGGGGGTTGAGGGTTTTGGGGTGATTTCTGGTGATTTTGGGTAATTTTGGGGGGATTTGGGGAGGATTTTGGGGGATTTTTTGGGGATTTGGGGTGATTTGGGGAGGATTTGGGGGGGACTTTGGTGGATTTGGGGGTGATTTGGGGTAATTTTGGGGGCATTTGGGGGGGTTGGGGGGGTTGAGGGTTTTGGGGTGATTTCTGGTGATTTTGGGCAATTTTGGGGGGATTTGGGGGTGGTTTGGGGGGATTTGGGGTGATTTTGGGGGGATTTGGGCAATTTTGGGGGGATTTGGGGTGATTTGGGGGGATTTGGGGGGGTTGAGGGTTTTGGGGGGATTTCTGGTGATTTTGGGTAATTTTGGGGGGATTTGGGGGGTTTAGAGTGATTGGGGGGGATTTGGGGGGGATTTTGAGTGATTTTGGGCAATTTGGGGGGGATTTGGGGGGATTTTTGGGGATTTTAGGGGCGGTTGAGGGTTTTGGGGTTGATTTCTGGTGATTTTGGGTAATTTTGGGAGGATTTGGGGTGATTTTGGGGGGATTTGTGATTTGGGGGAATTTTGGGGATTTGGGGCAATTTTGGGAGGATTTGGGGGGGGTTGGGATATTTTGGGGGCATTTGGGGCAATTTTGGGGGGATTTTGGGGGGATTTTTGGGGAGTTGATGGTTTTGGGGGGATTTCGGGTGATTTTGGGCAATTTTGGGAGGATTTGGGGGGGATTTGGGGTGATTGGGGGGGATTTGGGGGGGATTTTGAGTGATTTTCGGCAATTTTGGCAGGATTTGAGGAGGATTTGGGGTGATTTGGGGGGGATTTGATGGTTTGGGGTGATTTTTGTGGTGGACGTTGGGGTGATTTTGGGGCGATTTTGGGTTGGTTTTGGGCGATTTGGGGGGATTTTGGGTAATTTGGGGTGATTTTGCGCTGTTTTGGGTCTGTTTTGCTCTCTTTTGGGTCAATTTATTTTGGGCCTAGTTTGGGTTATTTTGGGTCTATTTGAGGTCTCTTTTGGTCTATTTTGGGTCATTTTGGTTCTATTTTCCTCTATTTTGGGTTATTTTGGGTCTCTTTGGGGTCATTTTGGGTTATTTGGGGTCTATTTTGCTCTATTTTGGGTTACTTTGGGTCTGTTTTGAGTTAATTTGGGTCTCTTGCTCTATTTTTGGCTCTATTTTGGGTTACTTTGGGTAGATTGAGGTCTATTTTGGGTCTATTTTGCTCTATTTTGGTTTATTTGCCATCTATTTTGGGTCTATTTCGGGTCTATTTTGGGTCATTTTGGGTCAATTTTTCTCTATTTTGGGACTATTTTGGGTCAATTTTATTCTATTTTGCTCAATTTTGGGTAATTTTGGGTCTATTTAGCTCTGTTTTTCGTCAATTTTTCTCTATTTTGCGTCATTTTGGGTCTCTTGCTCTATTTTAGATCATTTTGGGTCAATTTTTCTCTATTTTGCTCTATTTTGTGTCTATTCTTTTTTTTTATTATTTTGGGTCAATTTTTCTCTATTTTGGGTCATTTGGGGTCTCTTGCTCTATTTTGGGTAATTTTGCGTCTATTTTGGTCTATTTTGGGTCATTTTGGGTCAATTTTCTCTATTTTGGGTCATTTTGGGTCTCTTTTGCTCTATTTTGGGTCATTTTGGGTCTATTTTTCTCTATTTTGGGTCATTTTGGGTCTATTTTGGGTCATTTTGGGTCTATTTTTCTCTATTTTGGGTCATTTTGGGTCTATTTTGCTCTATTTTGGGTCATTTTGGGTCTCTTTTGCTCTATTTTGGGTCATTTTGGGTCTCTTTTGCTCCATTTTGGGTAATTTTGGGTCTATTTTGCTCTATTTTGGGTCATTTTGGGTCAATTTTCTCTATTTTGGGTCATTTTGGGTCAATTTTTCTCTATTTTGGGTCATTTTGGGTCTATTTTGCTCTATTTTGGGTCATTTTGAGTCTATTTTGCTCTATTTTGGGTCATTTTGGGTCTATTTTTCTCTATTTTGGGTCATTTGGGTTCATTTTTCTCTATTTTGGGTAATTTGGGGTCAATTTTTCTCTATTTTGGGTCATTTTGGGTCAATTTTGCTCTATTTTGGGTCATTTTGGGTCATTTTTTCTCTATTTTGGGTCATTTTGGGTCTCTTTCTCTCTATTTTTGGTCTCCCCCCCCTCCCCCCCCTCCCCCCTCTCCCCTCCCCCATTCCCAGGCCACGCCACCAAATCCCTGCCGGGCTCCCCCGGTCGGGGGGGGGTGGGGGTGGGGGTGGGGGGGACCCCCCCTTTGCCCCTCCCCCCTCCCTCGTCGAGCAGGGCCAAGATGTCGGTGACGGGGGGGGGAGGGGCGGGCAAAGTCGTCGTCGTCCCCCCCCCCCCCCCCACCCCCCCCCCCCCCCCCCCCCCCTACCCCCCCCCCCCCCCCCCCCCCCCCCCCCCTCCCCCCCCCGGGCAGAGCTTGGCCCTGAGGCTCCTGAGCCTCCCCCCTCCCCCCCCTTCCCCTCCCCATCCCCCACCCCCCTCGGAGGCCCCGCCCCCCACCCCCCCCCACCCCAAGGTGCATCGGGCCCGGAAGACCATGGCCAGGCCTGGACAGGTGGGGGAGGGGCTTGGGGGGGGGGGATGGGGGGGGGATGGGGGGGGGGATGGGCTATGGGTCTATAAGGGGGGGGGATATGGGGGGATCTATAGGGGGGTTATAGGGGGCTATGGGGGGCTATGGGGGCTATAGGGGGTATTGGGGGGCTATAGGGGGTCCATGGGGGGCTATGGGAGGTATATGGGGGCTATGGGGGGTATATGGGGGGCTATAGGGGCTATATGGGGGGCTATGGGTTGTATATGAGGGGGTCTATGGGGGTCTATGGGGCGCTATGGGGGGTCTATGGGGGTCTATGTGGTGCTATGGGGTCTATGTGGTGCTATGGGGTCTATGGGGGTCTATGGGGTGCTGTTGGGGTCTCTGGAGCCCCCTTACCACTGGGTCCCCCCCCAGGTTCCCGAGAAGCGGGTGTCGGAGATGCTGCACTTCCGGGTGTCCGATGAGCTCCGGAGCATCGAGGAGCCCGGTGGGGGGCAAGGGGGCGCTATGGGGCAAGGGGGCGCTATGGGGCAGGGTGGGGGGCTATGGGGGCTATGGGGCAGGGTGGGGGTCAATGGGGGGCTATGGGGCAGGGTGGGGGGCTATGGGGGCTATGGGGCAGGGTGGGGGTCAATGGGGGGCTATGGGGCAGGGTGGGGGTCAGGGGGGGCTATGGGGCAGGGTGGGGGGCTATGGGGCAGGATGGAGGGGTCAGTGGGGCGCTATGGCAGGATGGGGGTCAATGGGGGGCTACGGGGCAGGGTGGGGGGCTATGGGGGATATGGGGCAGGGTGGGGCGCTATGGGGCAGGGTGGGGCGCTATGGGGCAGGGTGGGGGGCGGTCAATGGGGGGCTATGGGGCAGGATGGGGGTCAATGGGGGGCTATGGGGCAGGTTGGGGGGCGGTCAATGGGGGGTTATGGGGCAGGTTGGGGGGTAATGGAGGGGTTATGGGGCAGGTTGGGGGGTAATGGAGGGGTTATGGGGCAGGATGGGGGGGTAATGGAGGGGTTATGGGGCAGGATGGGGGGGTCAATGGGGGGCTATGGGGCAGGTTGGGGGGCGGTCAATGGGGTGACCCCTCCCTCCTTGCCCCCCATCTCCAGACCCCCCCAAACGCCCCAAGTTGGGGTTCGGCCCCGAGGGGCTGCACAAGCGCCTGCAGAGACCTGGGCCCAGGCACAGCACCGAGGTGACCCCCATTGACCCACATTGACCCCCATTGACCCACATTGACCCCCATTGACCCACATTGACCCACATTGACCCACATTGACCCCCATTGACCCACATTGACCCACATTGACCCACATTGACCCCCATTGAAACCCATTGACACCCATTGACCCCCATTGACCCACATTGACCCCCATTGACCCCCATTGAAACCCATTGACACCCATTGACCCCCATTGGCACCCATTGACCCCCATTGACCCCCATTGACCCCCATTGACCCACATTGACCCACATTGACCCACATTGAGACCCATTGACCCCCATTGACCCCCATTGGCACCCATTGACCCCCATTGACCCACATGGACCCACATTGACCCCCATTGACCCACATTGACACCCATTGCCACCCATTGACCCACATTGACCCCCATTGACCCCCATTGACCCCCATTGGCACCCATTGACCCACATTGACACCCATTGGCACCCATTGACCCCCATTGACCCATATTGACCCACATTGACCCACATTGACCCACATTGAGCCCCATTGACCCACATTGAGCCCCATTGACCCACATTGACCCACATTGAGCCCCATTGACCCACATTGAGCCCCATTGACCCACATTGACCCACATTGACACCCATTGGCCCACATTGGCACCCATTGGCCCACATTGCCCCCCATTGATCCCTGTTGACTCCCATTGACCCCCATTGACTCCCATTGCCCCCATTGCCCCCCATTGCCCCCCATTGCCCCCCATTGAGCCCCACTGCCTGCAGGTGACCGTGACCGAGGAGATGGCCGCCCCACACCGCGTCTCCCGGCCCGGGGACGATTGGGACAGCGAAGGGGGGGGCGGCTTCTCCGTCTTCTACGATGGGTTCAGCGTGGACGGGCACGGGGACTCCGACAGCAAGGTGCCAATGGGGGGGCTATGGGGTAATGGGGGTCAATGGGGTAATGGGGGCTATGGGGTAATGGGGGTAATGGGGGTCAATGGGGTAATGGGGGCTATGGGGTAATGGGGGTCAATGGGGTAATGGGGGCTATGGGGTAATGGGGACTATGGGGGTCAATGGGGTAATGGGGGTTATGGGGTAATGGGGGCTATGGGGTAATGGGGACTATGGGGGTCAATGGGGTAATGGGGGCTATGGGGTAATGGGGATCAATGGGGTAATGGGGGCTATGGGGTAATGGGGACTATGGGGGTCAATGGGGTAATGGGGGCTATGGGGTAATGGGGGCTATGGGGTAATGGGGGTAATGGGGATCAATGGGGTAATGGGGGTAATGGGGGCTATGGGGTAATGGGGGGCAATGGGGTAATGGGGGTAATGGGGGCAATGGGGTAATGGAGGCTATGGGGGTCAATGGGGTAATGGGGGCTATGGGGTAAGGGGGGCTATGGGGTAATGGGGGTCAATGGGGTAATGGGGGTCAATGGGGTAATGGGGGTCAATGGGGTAATGGGGGCTATGGGGTAATGGGGGTCAATGGGGTAATGGGTGCTATGGGGTAATGGGGGGTATGGGGTAATGGGGACTATGGGGGTCAATGGGGTTATGGGGGCAATGGGGTAAGGGGGGCTATGGGGCAATGGGGGTAATGGGGACTATGGGGGTCAATGGGGTAACAGGGGTCAATGGGGTAATGGGGATCAATGGGGTAATGGGGGTCAATGGGGTAATGGGGGCTATGGGGTAATGGGGGCTGTGGGGGTGGTCAATAGGGATCAATGGGGGGTTAGAGGGTGTCAATGGGTCTCGATGGGTGTCAATGGGTGTCAGTAGGGATCAATGGGTCTCGATGGGTGTCAATGGGGATCAATGGGTCTCAATGGGGATCAACGGGTATCAATGGGTGTCAATAGGGATCAATGGGTGTCAATGGGTATCAATAGGGATCAATGGGGATCAACGGGTCTCAATGGGTGTCAATGGGTCTCAATGGGTGTCAATAGGGATCAATGGGTGTCAGTGGGTCTCAATGGGTGTCAATGGGTATCAATAGGGATCAATGGGTCTCAATGGGTGTCAATAGGGATCAATGGGTCTCAATGGGTGTCAATGGGTCTCAATGGGTGTCAATAGGGATCAATGGGTGTCAATGGGTGTCAATAGGGATCAATGGGTATCAATGGGTGTCAATGGGGATCAACGGGTATCAATGGGGATCAATGGGTGTCAATAGGGATCAATGGGTGTCAATAGGGATCAATGGGTGTCAGTGGGTCTCAATGGGTGTCAATGGGTCTCAATGGGTGTCAATAGGGATCAATGGGTGTCAATGGGTGTCAATAGGGATCAATGGGTGTCAATGGGGATCAATGGGTCTCAATGGGTCTCAATGGGTCTCAATGGGTGTCAATAGGGATCAATGGGTCTCAATGGGTGTCAATAGGGATCAATGGGTCTCAATGGGTGTCAATGGGTGTCAATAGGGATCAATGGGTGTCAATGGGTCTCAATGGATGTCAATGGGTCCCAATGGGTGTCAATAGGGATCAATGGGTGTCAATACGTGGCCTCCCCTCCTCACCTCTCTTCCCCGGTTGGGGGGCGGGCGTGGGGCTCAGTCCGAAGGCGATGTGGGGGGGGAGGCGCTGAGCGAGGAGGAGGAGGAGGAAGAGGAAGAAGAGGAAGAAGAAGAAGAGGAAGAGGAAGAAGAGGAAGACGAAGACGAAGACGAAGAAGAAGACGAAGAAGAAGACGAAGAAGACGAAGAGTCCGGGAACGCCTCGGATCGGGTATGGGGGGGGCCCATAGGGTGTCTATGGGGTGTCTATGGGGTGTCTATGGGGTGGTTATGGGGTGGTTATGGGGTGGCTATGGGGTGGCTATGGGGCGGGGTTCTGATGGAGGTCTTTGTGCCCCCCAACCATAGAGCGCGTCCAGCTCGCGGCGCCGGGCCCGGCGGCGATGGAAGGAGAGCCCTTGGTTGAAGCCGGCGAGGAAGAGGAAGAGGAAGGAGCCGAGGAGCAAGGAGAGGGGTGGGGATGTGGGGCGGGGATGTGGGGTGGGGATAGGGGGGGGATGGGGTGGGGGGGATGGGGTGGGGATGGTGGGGGGGGGGGAATGGGGGGGGGAATGGGGGGGGATGGGGTGGGGATGGGGTGCGGGGGAATGGGGGGGATGGGGGGGTAAGGGGGGGTGTGGGGATGGGGTGGGGATGGGGTGGGATGTGGGGTGGATGTGGGGGGGATGTGGGGGGGACGTGGGGGGGATATGGGGGGGATGTGGGGGGGATGTGGGGGGGAATGGGGATGGGGTGGGTTGTGGGGGGGATGGGGGGGATGTGGGGTGGGTTATGGGGGATATGGGGGGGAATATGGAGTGGGTTATGGGGGGGATATGGGGGGGATGTGGGGTGGGGATGGGGGGGGATGAGGGGTGGGATGTGGGGTGGGATGGGGGGGATGTGGGGGAATGGGGTGGGGGTGTGGGGGGGGAAATGGGGTGGGAATGGGATTGGGATGGGAATGGGAATTGCAATGGGGATGGGAATTGGGGTGGGAATGGTTATGGGGTGGAATGGGATGCAATGGGGCTGGGAGTTGGGGGTCACTGGGGTGCAATGGGGATGAAGGGGGTGTCTATGGGGTGCTATGGGGCTGGGGGTTGGGGGTCACTGGGGTGCAATGGGGATGAAGGGGGGGTCACTGGGGTGCAATGGGGACGAAGGGGGGATCAATGGGACGCTATGGGGCTGGGGGTCACTGGGACGCTATGGGGCTGGGGGTTGGGGGTCACTGGGGTGCTATGGGTCCGACCCCCCCCCCCCATAGGGGTCCCGCTGCCCCCCCCCGGAGCCGCCCCCTCCGAGTACACGGAGCTGCCATTGGGCTGCCTGACGCTGCCAGGGGGCGGAGCCATGTCCCCACCCCCCGCAGGTGAGGCCACGCCCCCCTCCCTTTCATTGGCTCCGCCCCCCCCCGCCAAACCACGCCCCCTCCTTATCCATTGGCTCCACCCCCTGCCCCAAATCACGGCCTTTTGTTCCCCAATTGGCTCCGCCCCCTTCCCAAACCACGCCCCCTCCCTCCCATTGCCTCCACCCCCTCCCTCCCCATTGGCCACGCCCCTTCCCCACCCCTCCCTCCCCATTGGCCACACCCCCCTCTCTCCTAGGCCCGCCCCTTCGCTCCCCATAGGCTCCTCCCCCTGTTCCAAACCACACCCCCTTCCTCCCCCTCCCCCCCCTTTCCCCCACCCCCTCCCTCCCCATTGGCCACACCCCCCTCTCTCCTAGCCCCGCCCCTTCGCTCCCCATATGCTCCTCCCCCTATTTCAAACCACGCCCCCCCCACCATTGGCCCCGCCCCTTCCCAAGCCACGCCCCCTCCCTCCCCATTGCCTCTTCCCCCACCCCCTCCCTCCCCATTGGCTGCTCCCCCTCCCAGCCCCGCCCGCTCCCTCCCCATTGGCCACACCCCCCTCTCCAAGCCCCTCCCCTTCGCTCCCCATAGGCTCCTCCCCCTGATTCAAACCACGCCCCCTCCTCCCCATTGCCTCCACCCCCTCTCTTCCCCATTGGCCACGCCCCCCTTCCCCACCCCCTCCCTTCCCCATTGGCCACGCCCCCTTCCCCACCCCCTCCCTCCCCATTGGCTGCTCCCCCTTGCCCAGCCCCACCCCCTCGCTCCCCCTTTGTCTCCACCCCCTGTCCCAAACCACACCCCCCTTCCTCCCCATTGGCCACACCCCCCTCTCTCCCAGCCCCGCCCCTTCGCTCCCCATAGGCTCCTCCCCCTGATCCAAACCACGCCCCCCTCCCTCCCCATTGGCCCCGCCTCTTCCCAAGCCACGCCCCCTCCCTCCCCATTGCCTCCACCCCTTCCCAAGCCATGCCCCCATTGACTCCACCCCCTGCCCCAAACCACGCCCCCTCCCTCCCCATTGGCCCCGCCCCTTCCAAAGCCACGCCCCCTCCCTCCCCATTGCCTCCACCCCCTTCCCCCACCCCCTCCCATCGGCCACACCCCTCTCTCCCAGCCCCGCCCCTTCGCTCCCCATAGGCTCCTCCCCCTGTTCCAAACCACGCCCCCTCCATCCCCATTGCCTCTTCCCCCACCTCCTCCCTCCCCATTGACCACACCCCCCTCTCTCCCAGCCCCGCCCCTTCGCTCCCCATAGGCTCCTCCCCCTATTGCAAACCACACCCCCCCCGGCATCGGCCCCGCCTCTTCCCAAGCCCCGCCCCCTCCCTCCCCATTGGCCACACCCCCCTCTCTCCCAGCCCGCCCCTTCGCTCCCCATAGGGTCCTCCCCCTGCCCCAAACCACGCCCCCTCCCTCCCCATTGCCTCTTCCCCCACCCCCTCCCTCCCCATTGGCTGCTCCCCCTCCCAGCCCCGCCCCCTCCCTCCCCATTGGCCACACCCCCCTCTCTCCTAGCTCCGCCCCTTCGCTCCCCATAGGCTCCTCCCCCTATTTCAAACCACGCCCCCCCGCCATTGGCCCCGCCCCTTCCCAAGCCACGCCCCCTCCCTCCCCATTGCCTCTTCCCCCACCCCCTCCCTCCCCATTGGCCACGCCCCCTTCCCCCACCCCCTCCCTCCCCATTGGCCACGGCCCCCTCTCCAAGCCCCTCCCCTTCGCTCCCCATATGCTCCTCCCCCTGTTCCAAACCACGCCCCCTCCCTCCCCATCCCCCTCCTTCCCCATCCCCCTCCCTCCCCCTTTCCCCCCCCCCCTCCCTCCCCATTGGCTGCTCCCCCTCCCCCCCTCGCATCCCATTGGCTGAGAGCCCCGCCCCGCCCCCCCAGGGCCGTCGCTGGAGGCGGAGCGTTGCGAGGAGCTGCCCCTGTGCTCCTGCCGCATGGAGGCCCCCAAAGTGGAGCGGGGGGCGGGGGGAGGGGAGGGGGGGAGGGGCCTCTGCATGGCCACAGAGAGCGTGGATGGGCAGGTAAGGGAGGGGGAGGGGAAGGGGGGAGGGGGAGGGGGGAAGGGGGGAGGGGGAATTGGGGGGAGGGGGAAAGGGTGTGGGGGGAGGGGGAAAGGGGGGAGGGGGAGGGGGAAAGGGTGGGGGGGAGGGGGAAAGGGGGGGAGCTCAAAGGTTATGGGGGGGGAGGGGAAAAGGTCATGGGAGGGGGAAAGGGGGGGAGGAGAAAAGGGTGGGGGGGAGCTCAAAGGTTATGGAGGGGAGGGGGAAAGGGCGTGGGGGGAGGGGGAAAGGTTATGGGGGGAGGGGAAAAGGGCATTGGGGGAGGGGGAAAGGGTGTGGGGGGAGGGGGAAAGGGGGGGGAGCTCAAAGGTTATGGGGGGGGAGGGGAAAAGGTCATGCAGGGAGGGGAAAAGGGGGGGAGGGGGAAAGGGTGTGTGGGGGAGGGGGAAAGGTTCATGGGTGGGGCAGAGGTCATGGGGGGAGGGGCAAAGGCGGGGAGGGGGAAAGGTCATGGGGGGAGGGGGAAAGGGTGTGTGGGGGAGGGGGAAAGGGTGTGTGGGGGAGGGGGAAAGGTCATGGGTGGGGCAGAGGTCATGGGGGGAGGGGGAAAGGGTGTGGGGGGGAGGGGGAAGGGGGGGAGGGGGAAAGGGCGTGGGGGGAGGGGGAAAGGTGGGGAGGGGAAAAGGTCGTGGGGGGAGGGGAAAAGGTCATGGGGGGAGGGGGAAAGGGGGGAGCTCAAAGGTTATGGGGGGGAGGGGGAAAGGTTATGGGGGGAGGGGGAAAGGGGGGGAGGGGGAAAGGGTGTGGAGGGGAGGGGGTAAGGGGGGAGGGGGAGGGGAAAAGGGGGAGGGGAAAAGAGGGGGAGGGCAAAAGGGTGTGGGGGGAGGGGAAAAGGGGGGTAAAGGGTGTGGGGGGGAGGGGAAAAGGGTCATGGGTGGGGCAGAGGTCATGGGGGGAGGGGTAATGGGGGGCAGGGCAAAGGGCATTGGGGGAGGGGAAAGGGGGGGAGGGGGAAAGAGCGTGGGGGGAGGGGCAAAGGGCATTGGGGGGAGGGGCAATGGGGGGCAGGGGCAAAGGGTGTGGGGGGGGGAGCCCAAAGGTTATGGGGGGGCACTGGGGGGACATTGGGTGCCATTGGGGTATATTGGGTGCCATTGGGGTATATTGGGTGCCATTGGGGTGCCATGGGGTGCCATTGGGGTATATTGGGTGCCATTGGGGTGCCATTGGGTGCCATTGGGGTGTCATTGGGGTATATTGGGTGCCATTGGGGTATATTGGGTGCCATTGGGGTGCCATTGGGTCCCATTGGGGTGTCATTGGGGTATATTGGGTGCCATTGGGGTATATTGGGTGCCATTGGGGTGCCATTGGGGTATATTGGGTGCCATTGGGTGCCATTGGGTGCCATTGGGGTGCCATTGGGGTATATTGGGTGCCACTGGGTGCCATTGGGGTCCTATTGTGTCCCATTGAGCATCACTGGTTACCATTGGTTGCTATTGGTTACCATTGGGTGCTATTGGATCCCATTGAGTACCATTGGCTCCTGTTGGTTCCCATTGGGTGCCACTGGTTCCCATTGGCTCCCATTGGTTCCATTGGCTCCCATTGATTGCCCTTGTCCCCCATTGGTTCCATTGGCTCCCATTGATTCCCATTGGCTCCCATTGGCTGCCATTGGTTCCATTGGCTCCCATTGGCATCCATTGATTCCCATTGGCTCCCATTGGTTCCATTGGCTCCAATTGGTTCCCATTGGCTCCCACTGGCATCCGTTGGCTCCCATTGGTTCCCATTGGTTCCATTGGTTCCTATTGGTTCCCATTGGCTCCCATTGGTTCCATTGGCATCCACTGGCTCCCATTGGCTCCCATTGGTTCCATTGGCTCCCATTGGTTCTATTGGCTCCCATTGATTCCCATTGGCATCCATTGGTTCCCATTGGTTCCATTGGTTCCCATTGGCATCCATTGGCTCCCGTTGGGTGTCCTTGTCCCCCATTGGCACCCATTGGTTCCATTGGCTCCCATTGGCTCCCGTTGGGTGTCCTCGTCCCCCATTGGCTCCCGTCGGTTGCCCTCATCCCCCATTGGCTCCCGTTGTGTGTCCTCATCCCCCATTGGCTCCCGTTGTGTGTCCTCATCCCCCATTGGCTCCCGTTGTGTGTCCTCATCCCCCATTGGCTCCCGTTGTGTGTCCTCATCCCCCATTGGCTCCCGTTGTCCCCCCCTCCAGCTGAGTGGCTGCGGCAGCAGCATCCTGAAGCGGGAGACGATGCGGCCCTCGAGCCGGGTGCCCCTCATGGTGCTGTGCGAGCGGCACCGGGCCCGCATGGTCCAGCACCACTGCTGCCCCGGCTGCGGGTTCTTCTGCACCGCGGTGAGTGGGACCCATAGGGACCCATAGAGACACATAGAGATCCATAGGGACACATAGAGATCCATAGGGACACATAGGGACCCATAGAGACCCATAGGGACCCATAGAGACACATAGAGACCCATAGAGACCCCATAGCACCACTGCTGCCCCGGCTGCGGGTTCTTCTGTACTGCGGTGAGTGGGACCCATAGAGACCCATAGGGACCCATAGAGACCCATAGGGACCCATAGAGACCCATAGGGACCCATAGAGACACATAGAGACCCACAGGGACCCATAGCGACCCATAGAGACCCATAGGGACCCATAGGGACCCATAGCGACCCATAGGGACCCATAGCGACCCATAGAGACACATAGAGACCCATAGGGACCCATAGGGATCACTTGTATTCAGTTATAACCCCATGAGACCCCCTTGGAGACCCCATAGATCCCATTAGGGACTCACAGACCCCCATAAGAACCCCATAGAACCCCATAGAGCCCATTAGGGACCCCATAGACACCCCATAGAGCCCATTAGGGACCCCTTAGAAACCCCATAGACCCCTATAGGGCCCCATATCCCCGCCACAGACCCACAGAGGAACTCCATAGACACCCCATAGACCCCCATAGGAACTGCATAGACCCTGATATGCCCCCATAGACCCCCATACCCCCTCCACAGACCCCCATAGGAACCCCATAGACCACCATAAAGCCCCCCATATCCCCCCCATAGACACCCCATAGACCCCCATAAACCCCCCATATCCCCCCATAGGAACCCCATATCCCCCCCATAGACCCCCATATCCCCCCAAATCCCTCCATAGACCCCCACAGACCCCCATAGCGCCCCATAGGAACCCCATATATCCCCATAGACACCC